TAAATAATACATAGAAAAAGTAATAATAAAATGCGAACTTAGTACTTATTTACAATGTGTATTTCTGTCTGTTGCCCAAGAAAATATTTTCTTAAAATCCTTTTTTCATCACAATGACCAGTACAAATGTGCACACAGTACTATGCAACAAAGATTAAAGCCATGAAAAAATGTACTATGATGAATTCGTGTTGCAATCTCACAGCTAAACCAAAAACTTCTTATCAGTCTCATCTTCTGAGTGTTGTCTGAAACAGTGCTCGTGGCTCACTCTATGGTGCACTTCTGGGATTAATTTTACATCGAGCGTCTTCAGTTCCCCACAGACTCATAGGCATCAAAGCAGTCATATTTATTTGTTTTGGATTTTTATCAGCTAGTGTCTTGACTTGTGACTAGGGAATCCGGGTATGCCTAAGGGACCTGTAATAACTCTTGGTGTTTGTCTTTCTGTTTGTCTTTGTGTTTTTGTCTATTAACCAATAAGAAAAACATATTTTATTTACTACAGATAGTTGTCAAATCTTGTTGCTAAAATTGAAGATGTGTTTACTATGGGAGTAAAAAGACAACACTTATAGGTGGAAATCTGCAGGGATATGATGTAAACATGGCCATCTAAGTACATAATGGATTAAATGTTGAGTCTACTTAGACTGTGAGATCCTTTTCAGCAGCAGTGCACTGATCAGTAAACATTCATAGATGTGTGCTTTTTTTCCCTCTCTAATGTTTCAGGAGTTTTTAAAAGAAAAATATCTCTTCCTATTCACAATATTTTCTCAAATTCGTTCATTCTCTATTCTCTCTTCTCAGCTACATGTGCGCTGTGCTGTTATAGAGTTCATGGTGTTAACTGTATTAAACAGGGGATTAATGCCCGGGGCTCTGGATCTCTGGTAATAGCAGACGGAAATACTGATCAAAGGACTCTAACTGTGCCGTGGGTGTTCGGACTGCCTCTGTCTGCTTCTCTGCATTACAAGAAGATTGGGCTTGGAGGATACACCATATAAGCAGACAGTGCTGGAGCTTTCTGTAGGTTTACTCTGGGATGGACATTTGAAGGTCCCATCAAGTATAATTAGGGCTACTAGTTCAGTGGTAAAGTATAGATAATATGAGACAAGATAAAACATACCTTTTCTGTCCTTTAAGCTTGGTGGAGCAGTTTAGTTTTGGGTACAATTATGTGTGTTTGTGTGTGTCTACATGTGTATGCACATAGGTGCTTTTGTCTTCTCTATTTGTGCCTGTATGTTCCATTTGTGCTGCATCCCAGAAGCTATGAACAACACATCCTCCAGGCTTCTTACCTTTGTGGTGACAGGGTCAGTAGTCAGAGCTGCTTAGCAGCATGCTCCTCTCATTACATGCATCAGCAGCAATATTACAGCCCCTACTGTGAAAGCATTGGAAGTGCACGTTTATAAGCTTTAATTGTTTGCTAAGTGGTTAGACATATTGAAAGTCTCTAACTTGTAAAATGATCAGCCGTAGTTAAAAGTTCAGCTGTCAGCAAGGAAGAGCCCTACACACGTCTTTGTTAAGAACCTTTATGTCTTTTGGTTCATTTGTGCTTAATATTGACCTAGAAAGGTGTAATGAGGTATATACCTTATGATACATATGTGCTATGCATTTTCATGAGTCATCGGGGACATGGGCTATGGCTGCTATACATAGCAGCTGTAAATTAATGTTACCCTTATGTCTTCTCCTTGCATGTTTATGTGCTCACAAATCTTTTACACAATGGGGTAAAGTAAAATTGTAATAGTACCTTCACTACTACTGCAAATGCTACATTTAACATTTATTTATTTTCATTTATTTAAGTTTGGTATTTCCAATTTGTAAGATTTGTGTTTATAGGTGTATTAGTTTCAGCAGTTACAAAGAAGCATTTTATAAGTCAAAGAAGTTAAAGCCAAGAGTTCTCCATGATTTTACAAGTTTTCCCAGGCTTGGTGGGGCTGGTTGGGTTAGGGTGTGTGAAAAGCATCAGAGCAACAGAAGCAGAGAAACCTGCACTGAGTGTGAAATAAAGACTGAGTATGATGAAGTTGGTAAATGGTTGTGAAAGTAGGCGCCCCGCCGGTTCTGTGGAGCGGCGAAACGAGGCCAAGCCCAGTTCTGGCTAATAAGTGTGAGGAAGTGCAGCCAAGAGGCCTCAGCCAGTGGCCGCATAACACCTATTATCTGCCTTACTATAAGACATCCACTTGTTTCCATTTACAGGGTATTGTTTAAGCTGTGGGAAGGTTCTTCGGTGTGACACGTCTCTGCTTGTGTCTGTCAGTGCTGACAGTCTTTAATAGTTTTGTAGGGGTCAGCCTCCTGCTACGTGTGGATAGTTGGAGGAAGAATGGCCAGGATATATGAGGACAATCTGGCTCTGCTGACACCCCACCGAAGGAGGATGGGAGAAAGGAATATTTCTGTTACTGCTATTTTGTGGCCTGTAATTGTCTGTAAGGTCTGTAAAATAGGATAGTAGAGCAAAGAGCTGCAATGCAATGGCAGGGGACAGAGGTTCAGAAAGTACACAGGGGACTGATAAAGGAGGTGTGTGCTGAGCCGACGAGCGAGAAAAATGTGGATGTTTGTTGTGAATTGTGATATTGTGAATGCTACGGTGTGTTCCAGCGGTAGTTTTCACTACAGCCAAATGTCTTTTCCCCCCCTTTTTTCCGTTTAAACAGATCCAGTCATGGGTGGAAGGACCCTGCTGGTGGTATCTGTGGTGGTGGGCTTGGCCCTGACCCCAGTGGATATAATAGTGCAGTGGAAAATGTCCTGTCAGTTGATGGAGGAGCTGCCTGTAGCAGCAGGAAGGAGTGTGGCGACAGGGGCCATGTGTGTTAACCTCTTTCCTTGTCACTTTTTCTGTCTTTCTGCCCACCCCCTCTCTACTTTCATCTCCACCTTTTTCCCTTTTTCTTTCCATCTTTGTTCCCCTAGACTCCACTCCCTCTACCTACAGACCTCCATGACAAATTACTCCTGGCGGTTGATTTGTTGGTTGTCAAAAGTGCTCCTTGTGCCCGCCATGAAGGTGGGGCGAGCAGGAGTAGAAGGTGCTTCTCCCCCACCCCCACTCCCTGCGTTCCTGCCCGTCGTCATCACCTGTCCCCTGCCTCCCCCACCCTCTCACATACGCTCCCGCTACAACTCAGTTTAGAGACATCTCAGTGGATATTCACATTGTGTCTCTTAAGATCTCATTAGATCTGATGTTGTCCGTATTTAATCAGCTCGCACGTTGGGTTTCCAACCCTCTTTTGACAAGACTGTTTTGATATGTTCTTGCTTGTATCAAAAGAGAAGCTTTAGGAGAATCTTTTGTTATTTACGTAGTAGGAGGAAGTGAAGGAGGAGCAGAAGAGAAAAACGTGAGTGAGAGATAAAGACTTTATGACAGAACTATAGATGTCACTGATTGTGGTAGGCTGTCTGCTGTAGTAAGTAGCAGGAACAATTCTGCACAAAGAAATCATTATTTTACAGGATGATCTGATGAAGTAATAAGCAATAAGCAGCTTAGGATGCTAATGTACTATAATATACTTCATTTTCAGTCATGTTCCTGCAAAGATGTGAATATTAAGACACTTAAGCTACTAAATATTTGCAAATCAGCCTGCTTAGGAATGGGTGATATGGATACAGTACAAGGTAAAATATTATGATCTACCTGAAACTAACCAAATGGGAATTGCTTTTTCCTTTGGTTTAAATACTTGACAAATAAAGGTGTTTAATCACATTGATTCAAAAATCCTGCAAATCCAATACTGCCAGAAAGTGGTGCTGCTCATCGATTTGCAGCATAGCCAGCAAAGGCCCAATACAGCAAGATATATTAAAAGGATAAACTACCTCAGTATAATAAATACAGCAATTCTCTGATGGTTGACAAATCTCTCGTTTGTATACCCCGTGGTGTCGTATGTGTTGTTAGGCGAATATGTGCAGATGTGCGGGAAACTAGGCTCCGAATAGCTTCCCCTCGAGTCCTTGACCTTGAGATTTGTCCTGTGAAGTGGATGATGACTGAGCTGATGCCTGAAGGCATGGATTTGTCTTCATGTTCGTGCGAGTAACAACTGTTGTTTCACATTTGTGTTTAGCTTTCGTCTCACATTAGGTAGACGGTTAACATATACAATATTAGACGGATGGCGCAGTCTGCGGAGTGTGTCGGCTGGACGGCGTGTTGTTTATAGCAACGGCTGTTTAGGCTCAGTCCGTGGCGATTTTATTTCGTCAGGTTTTTGCTGTTTTAAAAAAAAACTCATCTCCTTGTCAGTCCCTCACACTGTTTTATTCACTAACTGTTTGGCTTTCGAGAAAGTAATAGAATATGTTTTCCTTTCAACCCCAGCTATACAGATGCTAGATTGCTTTGTGTATCACCATCAAAACACAGAAGAGCGCATTGCAATCCACTTGTGTTCAAAAGTCTAAAACCATGTTGTCTCTCTGTCTCTTTTTTCTTTTTTCTTTTTTTTAAAGAGGGGTTAAGCTTTTATCCTATAAATATGGCATGAAAATCCCACTGTCAACGACACATTCATTCTAAGGCCCGTATTAACATAAAAATGAGGGCTTGTTATACAGTGAGATTTCAATAAAAAGAACACAAAATGCATTTAATGAAATTCAGATGCTGGGCCCTAGCTCACTGAATATCATTAAATGAGCTTTGTGCTGTTTTTCCATCTTCTTTTTGTAGAAGAGGTCCTTGAGTGCCCTTAATAATGTGGCAGATTTCATCATATTCCTGATTTAAAGAGGACAATGTCTGTCTTGTTCACTTGTTCTTTTCCATGCCCAAACCAATCTCCACAGATGTGCTTGCATAGTTTCTGGATCTGGCTCATGATAATATTCCATCTTTTATTTTTTTTTATTTTAGTTACTGAAGTTTTGTGAAGGTTCTCCACTAACCCGGTCTCTTCTTGTGCCCCCTCCCTCTTCTGTTTCTCTCTACATAGGATTTGGTTTCATAACATTTGACAGTGAAGACATCGTAGAGAAAGTCTGTGAAATTCATTTTCATGAAATCAATAACAAAATGGTAAGTCTGCGCATTATATTTTTTCCAATTCCAGGTGGACGTCGAAGGATTAATATTTGATTTCTTCTTTCCTTAGTATTAATAGCACAGCTGGTGTGGGTGCGTATGTGTGTGTCCATGTTCATATGCACAGGCTAGCACACACACACACACACGCACACACACATATAGACACTCTGTGGGTCTCTGGGTCTCAGGGATGTGAAAGCAGTGGTGTGTACTGCCCACAAACCGTGAAATTGTGTGGCTGAGTTCTGCCTGTCAGGCTGAGGGACGGGAGAGTGGAGCCTGTCCCTCTCTTTCTGAATTCCCTACCATGCACACACACGCGCACACACACACACGCATACACAGGTAGAGATGTCCAATCCAACAGGGAGGCTACTGGCAGAGGCCGAGTTCATTAGTCAGGGATTAACACCTTCCACAGAGTGCCAGTGATGCTTGTTTTATTTACACCAGTAATATGGTCATCCCAGAACTCCTCAGAGTTCAGCAGCAGTTTTCTAAGTCATCGTGTAACTTATGATAATTGGCAGGAAACGTTTTCAGTGTAGAAAGTGTGACATTAGGTCCTCCTTCACCCAGTTCCACCCTGCAGGCGTCTTAAGAAATCCTGCGCCATTTAAGCACGTTTGCGGACGGCAATTGATTGGAGGAATAGTCGTCTTACTACCGTTCAGCAGTGCTCCTTGTCTTTGCTGTGGATCTTCACTCTCTTTCACAGTTCTTCCCTGGAAATGACTGACTGACCGGGTATGTGACTGACAGGACCAGTGTAGTAGAACCGTGTTCACCAGGGACCACTCTAGGTCACACATGACCCTCAGTATATGTCCCCGCGTGTCTCGGCACTGCATCACAGTCAGCGCTCAGGACCGAAACACAAAAAGCCAGAGTGTGACAGAAATAACTGTGTGCATGGAAGGTAGCGTGTCACAATCAAATGCTTCAGAGCCTTTGATTTGTAGACTCAGCACCGTGTGAACACACAAAAATCACGCAATGGTATGAAGTGTAACACCTGACAGTTGTAGATTTTCTAAACCCTTCTCTTAAAAAAAAAAATTAAGTTACAAAAATAGTGGATGCAACTTTTTGTTTGTTACTAAATCTGAGCTCTGGAGAATATCCTGGCTGGCATAGTTTGAGCCCCTCTCCACCTTTTTACCTTAATTAAAAATTCTCATGATGTAAGTCAAACTCACAGCCTGTTTGTTAGAACTTGTAATTGGATAATAAATGAATCTTGAATTGTGTTTCCAATTACGAGGCTGAATTTCCTTAACTGAAAAAATTTGTTAATCTTGCATTTTAAAAAATACACTATTATGTATCAGTATGTTATTAAATTAGTTGCACACAAATTAAGGTTTTTAAATTAAGTTTAAAAGAGCACGAGTGGACTGTTCAGATTTTAAAAACACAAAACAATCCAATCTTTTATAACTGTCATTACTTAGCAAATAGTTATATGAAGTTCAGAGCAGGTAAATTATTTGCTTGTAAGCTTGCATGAATTAAGAAATTACAAGGACTTTTAGAGAACGACCGCTGCACAGGTCTTATACTTAAAAACAAGGCGTTACCCAATTGTCTTGTATGTGGGAACATGCTGTGCATAGCAGTCGAAAGCAAATACCTGTCAGCGAATATTATTAGAAACATAAAATCTCCTGATACACCTCAGTCTAACAGGCTTTATGTGAGAAAATGAGCACATGGTATATACTTGGTCAGCGATGAGGTGTATGTGCAGTCGGTCCACTGTAGCTAGCCCAGCTGCTCAAAACATCTGCTCAAGTGGATTCAAACTCACAAATAGTGTTACTGTCGTGCCAACTTCCATAGCCCAGGGATTCTCTGGCATTTACATTCCATCGGCAAAAACGCTTTCTGTCCAGAGAAATGGAATCTCACATACAGGAGAATAGTTTTATTAGGATTATTCAAAGCTATACTGTTAATAAGTGCGATGTCAAAAAATAGTAACAATGTTGTCATGAAAAGCATGTGTCCTCTTTCATGCACATTCCAAATCTTTGCCTAAAGGGATGATATAGGAAAAATAAGAATAAGAATCTTCTAATTATACATATAAATAGAAAAGATTGTTATTACTACAGAGAGGAGTTTTTTTGAGGAAGCGGATTAGAGAGAGATGGATGAGAAATTATAGGCTATTTTTGTGTTGCCATTAACATCAAAGCTTTCTCTGATGCAACAGTCACTGTATGGAAATGACTCGCTGTTACGTCACACTTAATAACAGTTACTAATGTTGTTATTTATTTAACCTTTGCTGCTGAAGTGCTGTGTAAAGTGTAAGATTTGCGACCACGGGGGATGCATGGGGAGTTTGAGTGGTCAAAAGTGCATGTGACACACTGTTGTGCATTGACATGTTGAACCTAATAGGGCGTGCACAGAAAACGTTTCAAGTGCCACATAACTGCAAAAGCTGTATCCCTAGCCTGGTCACTCCACCTGGGAGTCCTAGAAACCCTAACAGACAAGATGAGATGGGGGGTTTTTTCTCACTTGGGGTGGAAAGGACACCGTAAGGTCTGGTTTTCTAAGGCTTTTGTCACCTTTGTAACAGCCCCTGTTGGCAGTACCTACTGCACATTAAGTTCCTTTGGATACAGGAAATAAATCTTCTACAAAGTGCTGACATCTAGGAAGGATGTCAAAAGAGAAAAGAATTTGGAGTGCGTTGAGCATTTTTCTAAGACACAAAATGTTTTTTACCTTAGTTGCTCATAGGAGGAAACTGGTTATCCGGTGTCTGAAGCACCAGCACATAAAATAAAAAATGCCTCCTGTCTTCATCCTTATGAAGTACTATACAGAAATAGACCTCATCCATCCTCCCCATGAGTGTTATCTAAGATGGTTCTTGAATAATTGATGCAGACAGAAATTCCACCCCACTTGGGAGGGATGTGGATGTACAGGGCAGCCCACCTTCTCCTTGCATGTCCTCTCAGGAGCTCTGGCGGTGTACCAGGGTCAGCGTCCACTCAGATGTGAGGGACCGGACCTTTAAGTGACTTGGTCGCTCACCCTGTGTTCATGTGCCACCGAGGCCTCGCTCTCTCAGGGGCGCTTCATCTGTTCACTGTGAGTTCTGCCTCATACATAATTAAAAATAGGGTGCTGCTTAGCAAGAGTCTCATAACCTATGACACCAGCTGCACTGACTTCTCCATTAGCCTGCTTTAGCAAATGTAGGCTGTGATAAAAGTATCGATCATCCCCTCCAGGGCCACACGTGATTGCGGAAACATGATTTAGCTACCATGGCACCCACCCCTGTATTAAAACCAGTAAATATTTTCAGAGTAAAAAAAAAAAATCAATACGGGGGAGATTACGTGACAGTTTTCTGGTACTTTTTTTAACACTTTATCACACCTTGCCCATATATGAATGTCTATATCATATTGTGGCGAGACAGCACCTTATTAACAAGTAACGGCTGTGACTTGTGTTTTCTTAGACAGGAGTACCCCCCCAACAAATCACATACACCACCCTGCTGTTATGCATGCACAGATAATTCATAATAATACCTATCAAGTATTGGCTCTTATGAGTGAGCAGTGTGCCATTAAAATGGAGTCACATTGGTTTCAGTGAAGTGCTTTAATGTAATGTTCTTTAATGTGTTATTTTCAATATTCAGCGAATGAGTAGCAAATGATCACAACAGGAGGGAGAAATTTTCTGTTCGCTGTCAATTTCTCACTGTGTCTTCCTGACATGACCAGCCAATTACTGCGCCGAGGAGAATAAGCTCCGACTCTCCAAGTCGCTAAGGAGAAGACTAATATAAGTAGGCGTTTATACAATAGCTCCTAATGCAGAGATACAGATGTACTCTGCACAGTGTATTGACTCAAGCATAATGTTGAAAGAGAAGTAGTAAAATGTATAATGCAGCCCATATATTTCTGTGGCTACGACGTGTGTTTCACAACAGCACCATATGGTACTTTGCTGTCATTGAAAGCACGGAAAGCTTTGTTTTTTTCCAAAATCATCTTGATCTTTGATTCACAGTTTTCTCTTTTTAATGTTCTGCAGGGATAAAATAATTCAAGTTAGTACTTAAAAGATTCGACTCATTTGTAAGCCTTTATACCAGATTTACAATAATGAATGTGTAGTTGCCGCCAGCTGGATAAACTTGCCTGCTCTGGTGCATGCTGTATAATACTGTGCCAGATTTTTATGCACTTTCAATGTTTGGACCCTTATGTAGCACACAGCATAATCTCTGATTGTATTGTACGATACAGATTCAGATTCATAGGTCATATTGACACGGACCACAAAAAGAAAAAAACAGTGTCCTAAAGAATCATCTTCAGTGACGAGATGATTTGCTCAACTCAACATCATTGAGTCAGTCCGGATTTATATGAAAAAACAGAAGCAACTGAGGCCGTCTAAATCAATAGATGAACTGTGGCGAGTTCTCCAAGATTCTTGGAATAACCAACCTGCCAGGAGTCCTGAACAAATGCTGGTTAGTGTGTGGAGGAGCGTTTATGCTACTCAAAAGCAAAGGGTTGTCACAGCAAATGTTAATATTGATTTAGGGCTTTTCTGTTTGGTGCACTATTAGGTTAATTCAGTGGTGGAATGGAGCATTGTTTCAATTAGCGTTGGTAGTGGAGGAAGCATGACATACTTTAGGAATATTTGAAAATGTGATTGGAATGATTCTATGAATAAAATTACTCCCATTAGGTTAAAAACACAGCAGGAGCCAGGATTCTCCAAATCCACTTTCCGTTTTCTTAACCCTCTCAAGGCAGGCGTTGCAGATTTGCAAGAGTTAAAAGCTAACAACCTGATTACCCCACATACATATTTTATGAGTTTTTTTACTCAGAAGTACCACTGCAGGTATTATTTTGTGCATTAGCAACAAAAACTTAATTTGTGCCTGAGAGGGTTAAAGGGGATGAATAAGGTATCAAACCACATCA